TAAACCAATAAGCCCATAAAGAATAGGATCCACAACTTATGATCAATAGAAATAAATTTAAAAAAGTGTTGCAAAATCCAACCCAAAAATATGACCATATCTACTCTTTCACTTAAATTTGCTAAATTCACACCAATATTAGTTATGTTAATGAGTGTGAATTTAGCAAATATAGTAAAGATGTATAGATATAACTATTTTTGTGATGTATTTATCAAAACCCTTATGAAATGAATAGACCATCTCAATAGTAAATGTACACATGTTTATCCAAAATACCAATCCCAAAAAAAATATGTATGAACAAATCTTACGTTGTAAATAACACTTATTATTGCGTACTCTCTCCATTCTTTTTAAATTGTTTGTTACGCTTTGTATGTCAAATATTTGATTAACTATATATAAATATATATAATGAAATAAATTATAAAAATTATACTAAATTATTGGTATCAAAAATACTTTTACAGTAGTATTGTTAATAATCTTTAGATAGTACGTATATTTTAATTGATATGGTTAGTCAAATATTAAGCTCAAAAAAGACTTTTTTAGAGTAGATAATTTTAAAACCAATGAAAACGATGTATAACTAATGGAGAAAATAAACAACTTCCCTGCGTGATATATAACTACTTGATATGATATAAGCTAAAATAAATGGACATCAAACTCGAAATTCTCACTCGAAACTCGAAGTTCTCTCGGTAATAGTTTGGTTTGGGCATACGGTTTAAGAAAAAAATGGACATCAAATTTCAAAATGATGAACCAATATCCATGATGATCCCTCAAGGCCTCAACCGTAACAATTAATTGAGAGGAAGTAAACAAAATTATAACCTTGGGATGGGATTCCATGTTTTGAATGGTTCCTTATCGCAGACACTAGACTCTGATCTTAAGATATCTTTCTCTGGGCATTCTTATGCTAACCACTGAGCTACATTTAAGAAGGCACGTTAATTTTTAAAAAAGAATGAGCTCCATCCCAGAGGACTTCCTTAAATCCAGTCGGACGGTCATTGCGAGAAAGTAAATTAAACTTTAATCACAGATTAGTGGCAAAGAGTGCAGTCTGCACCTGATACTTGCAAATACCATATGCTTAACATAGTTTTCTCCCAATCCAATTGTCAAGAATCAAACTCAAATCTTACTTTATTGACACTCCCAACGCTTAATTTTCAAAGTTTTAAAAGGGAGTAGTAGGGTCAATGTGCGTTGTGGGCTCACTTTCATCATATTGTTCTTTAAGTAATGAGGGCCCCACTAAACTGTCCAAAGGAAAAATAAAATTAAAATAAAACAAAAGCAATTGGCTAAAGTTTGACAATAATGACCCCTTTATGAAAGTTACTCTCTACCAACTCTGCCATCATGGTATAGAATACAGATTGCTTGCGCATACTGCAATTCATCTCTGAAAAAGAGAGGCCTTTAATCCATTTGAACAAGTGTAAAAATGCTTCTTTAAAACCCAAAAAATTAAAATTCTTCCTCCATTTTAAAAAGAATATTACAGTTTCTTATTTAAAAATTATGCATTTTTATCAATTACATATTCTTGTATATTTTTCATAAATTTCATTTAATTGTACATTTTCATCAATTAAATTTCTAACTGTAAAAACTGGAAGAAACTAAAAAAAATTGGTAATCTTGTGATATTCCTGAAAACTTAATGTAAAAATGGTAAGCTTGTGGTATTTGTGACAAATTTTGTTTCTGAGTCTAACATTGTTCTTTGAAATTTGTTTGAAATTATTTCCCCACTTTTCTCTTTCCCCTTTTACTCCGTAGAAATTAATTCTACTTCTTACTCCGCATGTGATTAACATATTTCACTTTTATTCAATCAAAATTTATTCAATTAATACTATTTATTACTCCATTCGTCTCAATTTTTTTGTCACATTTTCTTTTTCAACCATCACGAAAATAATATACTCTGTATTATATTATTAACTAGAAAACAAAAATAGAACCTTCCTGTTAGGCTATTACCATAGAAAAAAGACCAAAATAGGACTTATATTGCCAAAAATGCTAACATATAATACTACCAAAAAATTATTGTGCAATGTCATTATATATAATCACATTATCACACTGAAATAATTCTATTTTAGAGATAAATTTATTTCACTCTAATTTTGGGGATAAAAACTAAGAAGTATGTTTTATTTCTTTTTGTGTTTTTTTAGAAAAGTGCTAGTCACAAATAGAAACATCACAAAATCACAAACTTGCTATCCCTTAATCATGCAAAAGAAATGGTCTCAAATAATTTAAACAATTAAATTTTAAATTCAATATAGTAAGTTTGTGAGTAATGTAATTTCTTTTGTTGGTAATGTTAGGGTTCCTCATTTCTTAATTACAATTTACAAATACGGAGTATGTTTTCAAACGAACCCGTATTTATTTAAAGCCCATTTATGCTAACACTAAAACATGAAGGATAAGTATATTCTTTTAAGTATAGATCCACCACTGAAATCTAAGCCCAATTTTGCGGATTACTCCGTAATAAGTATGGAGTCGTTTCTTTTAGATTCGAATAAAAATGCATTTTTTAAAACAAAAAGCTTGTCAAAACTAAAAATCAAGGCCCAATACAAATGGTATCTAATGATAATGATAATCTTTGTGTTTAATATTGTTCAAGTTAATCTATTCTTAGAAAAATTATGTTAACTAATAACGTTAATTGAAGATATTATTCTAATCTAGCTAACATGATTTTTTGTCAAAGTCCGTAAACTTTGACTCCGATATATAGAAAAAATATATTGTATTATAATATATATTTAATATCAATGTATTCCTATTCAAACATAATTTTGAAATATTAAACTTTTTATAAATTATATCTATGTACAGATATAGATATTAATGGTCAACGTCCAACATTGGAGATCGTGAAAAGAACTAATGAGAAGAATATTTTCGGACGGATGGAGTATCTAATATGTCAAATTTATTGTTTCACAATGGTAATGATTATCTATCAAAATTTTCTTTATCTTGAAGTATTTTATTTCATTCAATTCTCACATCATTATGTCTTCATTATTTATCTACCCTATTTGTTCTTTTTATAATTAAAAGACTACCTCAATAGAACAAAAAACATAAAATTTATATTAAAATAAAACTTCATGTATTTTATATATGAAATAATAATGATCAAATTAAATGTTTATAAACATGTGTTAGTCTAATGTCAAATTTTTATATCTCAAAATTAGCTCTCTTTACTTGAACTTATTGGTCTTGAATCTCTTGATATGATCTCGATCTTTCTTGTGTGATCAGATTTGATCTCAATTTTGTTAAAGGTAAAGTTTTTTCCGATTATATTTTTGTTGAAATTAAGGTTATTTTTTATTCGGTGTAATTTGATCGAAGTCTTTAATTTCTGATGTAATCTAATCGGTTCAAATAATAATCCCCGCAAGCAGTACATAGAAAAAATAAGCTGAAGAGAAAACCAATGTTGTTACAACCGGACCGGACCGGCCGGTCCAACCGGTCGGACCGCGAACCGGTGAGGAATCCGGTCCGATTCAACTGTAAAAACCGGATCAGCATTAACCCGCCCAAACTCGGTAGACCCAGCGGAACCGGTGAACCGGGTCGACTCGCGGGTTTCTTTCTAAAGTTTTTTATTTATTTTTTTTGCCTATAAAATAAAATGATGTAGATAGGATTAGAACCCTAGACCCCACCATATATTTCTCGAAGTCTATAACTACTTAAACTACTCAATACTTGTTAACAAAGTTATGCAAAATAGTATATATAGTGTTTTTTATTTGTGTTGAGTGAATTAAAAAAACTTCTAACTTCTAACTATTTGTAAGAAAGATCATTTTTGTGTTGTGTGATTATTTTATAATCTTTTAAAATATTTCAAAGTAAAAAAAAATATTTTTTTTATTAAATAATAATGAATAATTTATATCTAAACAAATATTATCATCTATAAAATGAAGAAATATGTACTAATTATAATAAAATATGGAAAGTGTGAAAAAATATATGAACAATGACATTGAAAATAACATGAAGAAGAAAAAAATGTAATTTTAAATATTTTATTTAACATTGGCAATAACCTTTACATCTTTCCTTAATATGTGTGTCCGATTCAAATGAAAAGATTAAAGTTAGACAGAGGGAGTATGTGCTTCGTATTATTTTGAAATAATATGCATATTTAAGTAATGTAATAATATTTTATTATCTTTAAAAATAGTCCACAAAATATGGTATTATTTAATTTTTTATCATCTAAACATAAATATGAGTATTATATACCAAGTATTGGGTCGTTGATCGGGTCGTTGACCCGAGTCAACCCGGTTCGACCGGTTGACTCTTGACCCAGTGGCTTGTCCGGTTCGATGTCCGGTCCGGTTTTCAAAACATTGGAGAAAACAATCAAACATCCATATAAAAAGTATTATCTTCTCTTTCTATTTATTAATTTACGTGCCGGATCACATTGAGAAGAATATTCTTTAGACATCAAGCATGTAAATACAAGCTTTTAATATGGAGTTGCCAGATAAGTGGCAGATCTAGAAAAAAATTCATCGAGTACCATTAATTCCTCAAAGTGGCACAGGAAATTTGTGAATCTCATCCATCCATGGGTTCTTCTCCATGCCCGAATCAACATTCTTCAAAGCAAGCCATACCCGGTCTCCCTTTCGGATCCTCCCTTTCCCCTCTGTGTAACCAAGTTCATACGCGAAGAGTAATGACTAGTGAGAAGAGTAATTTACTTAAATAGGACTAAAACATAATGACTTTCCCAATATAGAACTATATGTTTTTATTTCCCAATGTAGGACCTTTGGTCATTATGAGTTAGTCATTATTCAACTAAATGTCCAGCATCACTTGGACATTATTCTTCTCACTAGTCATTATTTAGTCCTATTTAGGAAATAAAAAAGTTTAAGTCCTACATTAAGAAATAACTTATGTTTTAGTCCTATTTAGTGCAAATTTCACTTTATTAATTTACGTGCAGGATCACATTGAGAAGAAAATTCTTTAGACATCAAGCATGTAAGTACAAGTGGCGAATCCAGAAAAAAATCATCGGGTACTATTATTTCCTCAGAGTGGCACAGGAAATTGGTGAATCTCATCCATCCATGGGTTCTTCTCCATGGACGAATCAACATTCTTCAAAGCACGCCAAACGGCGCTGTTGCATTTAAAACCCGACCCGAATGCGATTTGCCATACCCGGTCTCCCTTTCGGATCCTCCCTTTCCCCTCTGTGTAACCGAGTTCGTACCAGAGCGAACTGCTGGACGTGTTCCCGAACCTGTAAAGCGTCATTCTAGAAGGTTCCATATGCCACTCCCCAAGTTCTAGATTCTTCTCAATCGCGTCTAGCACCGCTTTCCCTCCCGCGTGTATACAGAAGTGCTCGAACGCCTTCTTGAAATCCGGAATGTAGGGCTTTATCTTGACCCCAGAACATATGAAAATCTTCCTCGCGACAAGTGTGAGAAAGAACATCACCTGTTCTGAGATGGGGAGGACGAGTGGGCCCAGGGTGGTGATGTTTACCTTCAGGGCCTCGCCCGCCACCCCCATGAGGTCTTTGGAAAGGGCGACACCGACGACACCGGCGTCGTCCTCTCTCAAAAAGACACATGAGTAGCTGTTGTCGTCGGCGCCCTTGTTTGACCGAACGGTGCGGAGGAGCTGGTACTTGGATCGGCGGCGGTCGGAGGGGCGGTTGGAGAGGAGCACGGCGGCGCCGCCGTGACGGAAAATGCAGTTGGACATGATCATGGCGCGGTCGTTGCCCAAGTAGCAGTTGAGTGTCTGAACCTCTAAGCTGACTACTAGGGCGCACGTGTTCGGGGTCGCCTGCATGCATGTGACACATCTCATGAAAACTGAAGCCACGTGGACTTTTTTGAAAGGTGAATAAAATATACGGAGTACGTAGTATTTTGTGAAATTTAATACTACCTCTTGACTTTTTTTAATCTTCAATAAACTTTGACCATTAATATCTTTACTTATATATAGATACTCCCTCCGTTTCTAATAAAATTTCGTTTTTGACTTTTTAGAAAATTAAGGAAGGGATATTTTGGTGTTGACTTTTCAAAAATATCCTTGATGTGATGTGTAAACGTAAGATGTTATATGTAGATTATTAGTAAAAAGGTATGATGTGATAGGTAGGGTATGAAAAAGTAAGGGGTAAAAGGAGTACTTTTATAAGGGAAAAGAGAAGTTTATTTGGGGATAAAGAAAAAACGAAAGAGGAAGTTTATTTAGGGACGGAGGGAGTATATTTTATAAAAATTTAACATTTATAAACTACGTTTCAATAGAAATATATTGATATTTAATTTATATCATAATACAATATATTTTTTCATATATTGAAGTCAAATTTATAAACTCTGATTAAAAAAGTCAAATGAGAAGAATATTTTTTGAATAAAGGAAGTAAGAAATTTATTGAATAGATCTCGAGTAAATTCTATAATTGGTCCTTTATAATAGGGGGTTCCCCTATTTAGCCCTCTATTATCAAATATTACTCAAGTGGTCCTTCTTTATGGGTACCTTTCCACAAATAGTCCTTTTTTTGATCTTCTATCATGTTGATGTTAATTTGAGGGCTAAAAGTGTAATTTCACAATGATAATACATCTTTTTTGTCATACACAATTCCAAAGGATATTCCGTTTGCGTTGTTTGTGAATTACAGTCGCTTTTTACGACAACTATAGTCTACAAATGTGATCTTTCGTCAGAATCCTAGCCCACAATCATAGTCATTATTTTTGTGTTATCCGCTTAACCAATAACAGAACACGTCATTAGACATAATGTTGACGCCAAATTATACTTTTAGCCTTTAAATTAACACTAACACGGCAGAAGATCAAAAAAAGGATCATTTGTGGAAAGATACCCTTAAAAAAAGGACTACGGAGGTAATATTTGATAATAGAGGACTAAATATGAAAACCTCCTGTTATAAAGAACTAATTATGGAATTTTACACATAGATCTCAAAAATAAAAATGGTTAGTTAGTGGGAGCTGAGATGGCCTATGGTGTGGTGATAGTCGGTAGTTGAAGGAGATAATAAAATCTTGTACTATTTCAGTTTAAAAAATTATTCATATCACTTTTTTGGTCATCTTTCAATTCTAAATATTATTTGGTTAAAAAAAATATATTTAGTCGTAATATAAATTTATTATAATTGAGTTCATTTTAAAAGATTTAACTTTACAAAGAAGAAAAAAAGAAGATTAAATTGGGTTAGTCTAAAAAAAATAAGAAGGATTAATTTTAGACAGAAGGAGTATATATAAAGATATACTCCTTGAAAGTTAAGCCATAATATTTGTATAAAAAATATTTTTAATATAGTACTAGATACGTACTCCTTTTATCCCAATTTAAATCGTGTGTTTCGTTTCATGATATTTAGCTGAATTTTTTTTCAAATTATTTTATAACAAAAATGACGTAGAATCAAAAAATGAAAATTACATATTTAAACATGATATTAAAAGATCTACGGAGTACAAAATTAATGCTGACATGACTATATTATTTTCATCAAATAACCAATGAAAATATGAAAAAAAAAATAAAATGGAGTAAAGTTCAACCCTATAAATAATAAACAGATAATTTAATTTGGGACAAATGGAGTATTATTTTAAAGCTTGACAAAAAGAAGTGAAGATAGATACTCATTTCTCTCCTTTTTAATCTTCTCTTTTGTTATTTACATGATCAATTTACATGTCTCTAATTTCATATACTCCCTCCGTCCCCCATAGATCTTCCCAATAGCTTTTTTTCTTTGTCCACAATAGATCTTCTCATTTCATTTTTTAACAATTAAAATATCACATCTACCCCCACTTACTTTATTTATTACACCTCACCCACCTCATTTAATACACTCCACCCATTTTTCATTAAGGGTATTATGGTAAACTTTCATCTTTTTTCAACTCTCCTTTAAAACCACCAAAAGTCAAAATGAGAACATCTTAGGGAGACGGAGTGAGTATTAATTATGTATTGATTATATATTAATTATTGAATCTAATAATCTCTAAGCCCATGTCATGGGCTGAATTGAGGCCGGTACGATGTTCCGTATGTAATATTCACGGCTCCTACCGCTAACTCTCCAGTAAACCCCCAACCTCACCCCGATTCAAACATACCTTCCATGTAACCCTTCAATTGCACCCCCAAATTCATTTGACTTTAGTTTTAATTCCAAGATCAAACTAACTTAGAAACCATCAATTTCAGAAACGAGAAATCGTAGCAGCTCTGAATAATCTCATGACATGGGATACGTTCATACGTTCCAATGGCATATGAACCCTTCCAATACCAAATTTAGAGAAAATCAAATTAAAAATGATTTTCGAGTGACCAGAAAATTGAAGAATTTAAGAATCCTAACCTAAAACCCTTACACAACAATTAATGGCTGCGCTCCATCGATCCTAGTACTAGCACTAGTATGTACATTTAATTATTGCAATAACCACATAAATGCTACGCTCAGATTTTGTTAACCTGCGTACAGTTTTGGAATTAAATTTGTCATTTCAGTCGCATTGCACACACCATCTTTCGTACGTTGGTTTTAGTCTTTGCCCACTGTGTTATATTATCCATCCATGGGAGAAAAGTGATGTGGTTTAATTTCACAAAATTTATTAAAGTTGTTGCAAAAAAAAAAGACATGATTTATTTAATATTGTAAGTCACTTAATTGTTTACTTTGATGAAAAAATTAAAAAATTATTTTAAAAAAACAAATAAAGAAAATGAGGAGTCGAATTTAATTACTCCTTATTATGATGACAAAAAAAAGGAAATAAGGCCAACAGATTGGTGCCAAAATTGGGATACATTAATCTTTTTTGAACATATTGTGAGGTTAATTTTGATCCCATTCATATTGAACTTAACCCTAACATTGTTGTTATTAGGAATGGAACTTAATATATATATATATATATATATATATATATATATATATATATATATATATATATATATATATATATATATATATATATATATATATATATATATATATATATATATATAGGATAAATGTTAATATTCATTCTATTTTTGATGTATCTCTCAAAAAAAATACTCCCTCCATGATGGTTTATATTTTTACTATTTATTTGAGCATTCCGACAACTTTTTTCTACTCGTGCGTTTTCATTGATAATTTGATAAAATAAAATATTTTTATCTCATCTTGTTTTGTAAATTTTTCATGTAGTGTTTAAATATGTAATTTGTATATTTTATTTCTATATCAATTTATTACGGAGTAATAAAACAAACTTTAGAAACGATAAATTCTGCATATTATTCATTGAAAAAGTATGTGTTGTATATATATAGATTTTGGTTCTGGTGAGAATGCGATCTTAGGAGAGAAATGAGAATGAATATGGTACTTTAGATTATGAGATCTAAGGGTCAGGATTGCATCAAAATTAGGTGCACCAAAATGGTTTGAAAATGCATCATGCCGAAATGCACCAAAATCCTTTGAAAATGCACTATCTCAAAATTCGAGCGCAGGATGCAATCTCAGCCGCACAATGCATCAGATCCATCTGCTAGATTTTATTCTCATTTCTCTCCACAAGGTGCATTCTCACAGGAACCGGCCCCTACACACACACACATTGTCCATCCCAGATCACCAGTGTTTGACTTTTTGGTCACATTGTGTTACACTTTGACCATAAATTGTAAAAAAATATACTCCATCCGTCCCAGAGTATTTGTCCACTTTCATTTTTACACACCGTCCAATACACTTTTTTTAATCCATTTTATCTTGTAATTTGTATATTAAAAAATTATAGAAATTATATATTAATAATCTATATGTTAAGACAAATCAAATAAGATCACACATGACTATATTTAAGCTTACACATTGAAAGAATTTGATGAGTCAAAGTGCTTAGATGAACAGTTCCAAAAGTCAAAACTGGACAAATATAGCGGGACGGAGGTAGTATTTAATTATAATACACTTAGGAAAATTGGGTTTATTTTAGAATATAGTTCTTATATATCAAATTTTATAACATTTAATTATTTAAAATTATATTTAACTTGTGATCGTCTGATCGATGTGTTAAACAGTTTTACTAAAAAAAAGTCAAACTGTGATGATTTTTTTTGGGACGGAAGAGCAGGAGTAATGAAAAGTTGAAACCTGAAGGAGGTGTTTGGCAAGGTCAATAGAGATGAGGCCTGCACTGCAACCCATGCCACCAAGATTGAAGGTCTTCACACTGCTCTTGAGCTTGTAATGGTTAACCAGCATGGCAGAGAAAGATGGGGTTGAGTTAAACAAACTGCAGTTAACAATAACTATCCCAATCTCCTCACTCCCCACCCCTGTCTTCCCAAGCAGTTCATCAACGCACCCAAAAATCACCACTGCAGCCTCCTTTTTGGCCACATCCAAACACGCCGTTGAGGGGACGCTCAAAATGGACTCTGGGAAATAGGTCTTCTGCCCCAGCCCAGACCTCTCCAGGATCTTCTTCTGGAACACCAGATTCTCCTCTGTGAAAATGTTGGCCTGTCTTGACCTCTCGAGGTACCTCTCCGTAGGGCACATCAGTGCAGGGGGGGGCTTGTAGCATGCAAAGTCCATCAAGTAAACGTCCCTTGGCCTGGTCAAGAAGTAGAGCATGCCCAAGAGAAGGACAAGGCATGAGGATGCAATGACATGTCCGGGGTTGAGGCTTAGGACCATGTCCTGCAAGTTAAGGGCAGAGCAGTGGGAAGTGAGTGTCCCTAAGAAAGGGAGGGTTAGGAGGAGGAGATAGATCAAGAAATGGTAGCCAGGCTTTGTGTGTTTTTGTCTAAGGGAAATGAGAAATTTTTTCATGAGTTCCAATGATGGCATTCTTTTGTGATCTCCCATCGTAAATTAAATAGAGGAATATATATTATAGAATAGAATGATTGAAGGGGGGAATGAAATACAATATTTATAGAGCTAGAGAGTGTTATATATGTATATTTTGAGCAATGAGTGATGATGAAGTGAGCTCTCAAGGGCAATATATAGACAACTTTTTGGGTGCCCAAAAAAAGGAAGGTAACAAGTAACCACCGGTTCAATGGTGTGTGGGAGACATGGTACACCCAACAAAGTCTAAATATCAATACTATCTCCGTCTGCCATTATTATTAGTCCTGTTTTATTTTTTATAGCCGACCGTTTTTTAACGTTTGACCTATAATTGAATAAAATATAAATTGTATATTAATTACATAAAATAATATTTTGAAAAATATTTTATATAATAAATATATTTCTCTATCAATATCTAATATCTCTTTTATTTAATTTGAGAGAAGAATTTACCAATTTTGACAAAAAAAAGACAAAAGTGGACAAGTGATCCGGAACGGAGGGAGTAATACTTAATATTTATTTAGTTATGATTTTTTTGTGGCCAAAATTGACAAAATTTGACTATTAATCAAACAAAATTGCAGATATGGATAAAAAAATAAATATCATTAGATTTTTTTAAATAGTATTTTTAAAATATTTTCTTATCTAATCCTATACACTTCATGTTTTATACATAGTAGAATTTATTGAATTATAGATCATATGTCGAACTAATTAACTACAAAAACCCAGAACTATATAAATATTTAGGGATGAAAGTAGTATTCTTTACAACCAGAGAGCATTCTCTATGAGATAAATAATGAGAATATAATACACTAACACGATAAAATTAAGGGTATGTTTGATGGGAGGATTTCTTGAAAAAATGTTAAAGCTATTTTTTCCTATCAAGTGATTTCATATTAAGACACATTGAACTTGGTTATCTCCAATTGGGCCTTTACGTACCCGATGAACGCTTCAAGGACCATTGAAGTGGGCCGCGTTTTTGAGTCAGTCTATTAACAATTTAAGCCGACATCTATTTTTGACTCGGAATAGTACTTCATAAATTGAATATTATGGGCCACGGGCCATTGGCTAATATCCATTAAGGATAGAACTAAACGAGCAGTTGGCAAGCAAGTAGTTAGTCCCCGCTTGGTGAGACTATCCGTAGTTTATAAAAAAAAAAACCTATAGGCGGGGGTGTTAGGTGGGGGGATCTCGAGTTGAAATTGCTATGGAGAGTTTAGGGAGAGTAGAAATAATTTTGCGATTGAATCATCGTAAATGTTCCAGTTAAATTGGTGTCACGATCTCACACTAGTTCAATTGAAGTATACAAGTTTCTTTGATATTTGAGTAAAAAATTTGATTGAAAAAGTCAACCAAAATTTGTGGGATGCAATTGCGGGGGCTAGGGTAGTCGTGACTCGTGAGAGGGCGAGGTTAGGGGTGGGATTTTTTGAGGGGTGAGGAGGAGTAAAAATTATCAATTTTACGAACACAACATCATAGCTATCCTGATTGAAATGGTGCCACGAAGTTACACCATTTGAGATGATGTAACTCTACACTTGATATATACTCCGTATATAAATAATAGAGTAAATTCCATAAAAGGTCTCCAGTTATAGATCGTTTTACATATTTAGTCCCTACATACTCCTTCCGTCTCCAATTTGATTACAATTTTTTTTCTCTCTCCTAGATAACTTTTGTTTGTTTACTCAATTTAATTAAGTATTTGACAAGATAAAATATTCTTGTCACCTCTTATTTTGTAGAACTTTGACGTAGTTTTTTAATATATACTTTTTATTTCTTATCGATACACTGATTTGTAAATAAAATGATTTTAAAAACAGAGATATTTCTCCTCGTAAATTGTAATTTGTAATCAAATTGGGGACGAAGGGAGTATCAAATATCAATAATTTAGTCTCCAATTATAATATAGCTTTCCTCTCTTCTCGTTAAGAACTATAATGTCGAGTTGAAATTGCTATAGAGAGTTTAGGGAGAGTAGGAATTATCAATTTTACAATCGAATCACCGTAGATGTCCCAGTTAAATTGGTGTCACGATCTCACACTAGTTCAATCGAAGTATATAAGTTTCTTTGACATTTGAGTCAAAAATTTGATTGAAAAAGTCAACCAAAATTTATGGGAGGCAGTTGCAAGGGCTAGGGGGGTCGTGAGGGGGTGAGGGGGTGAGGTTAATTAGAGGTGGGGGGTTTTGAGGGAGTTAAAAGGAGTAAACATTATCAATTTTACGAACGCAATACCATAGGTATCCTGATTGAAATGGTGTCACGAAGTTACATCATTTGGGATGATGTAACTCTACACTTGCTATATATACTCCGTATATAAATAATAGAGTAAATTTTATAAAAGGTACTCAGTTATAGGTCGTTTTACATATTTACTTCCTACATATCAAATATCAATAATTTGATCCCCAACATTTCCGTTAAGAACTGGATAAAATTGTATATTCACACTCCTCTATTTTTTCAATAAGTTTCCTCCCTCCTCTCGTACTCGTTCTAAAACTCGTCGCTAAGTTTGAAGCTCTAAACCCAAAACCGAAAGAGTAATTTACCTAAATAGGACTAAAACATAATGACTTTCCCAAAATATGACCATATGTTTTTATTTTCTAATGTAGGACCTTTGGTCATTATTAATTAGTCATTATTCAAGTAAATGTCCATCATTACTGGGCATTATTCCTTCCACGAAGACATTATTTAGTCCTATTTAGGGAATAAAAAAATTTAAGTCTTAGATTTGGAAAGTCATTATGTTTTAGTCCTATTTAGTTCAAATTTCACAAACCGAAATCATCCATCCTCTCTCAATTGTTCATCTTCCTTGTGGAATCCAAAACCGAAATCATCCATCCTCTCTCAATTGTTCATCTTCTTGATAGAACCCAAAATCGAAACCAATAACCTTCAGGAATGAATTTTATGGGTTAGTTTTAGAAAATTTCAAAGAAAACAAACCTAAAAACTCACCCAATGAAGGTTACTGGTTTCGATTTTGGATTTCACCGGGAAGAGGAAAAATTGAGAGATAAAGGGGGATTTTAGTTTTGGGTTCAAAACTTCAAACTCAGCAACAGGTTTGGGAAAGGAGTGCGGCCGTGCGGGAGGAGAGAGAAAACTTACTTGAGAAGAGGGAGGAACATAAATTTACAATTTCATCCACGTTTTTAACGAAAATGCTAACAAACAATCATTCGTGGAAAACAATATAATAACTGGAGACTAAATTATTAGTATTTGATATGTAGAGACTAAATATATAAAACGAACTATAACTGAGGACTGTTTATGGAATTTACTCTAAATAATATTCCGACCATGATTTTAAATCTTTTCAAAAAATTGTAGGATGCCATTGAATTATTTTAGATTTGAAAACTCTATGAATTTCTTTGGGGCAATGACAAGAATAAAGTGAGGGTATGGGGTGTGGAAGTGGGAAAGAAGGGGAGGTAGGCCGGTACGAGGGTAACCTATCATTGGGGGGTTGATGTACAATGAATTAGGACACGATGGTTACCAGTCTCGTATTTATATATTCATCAGTATATCGTACACATTCCATTTACCATACCTGCAGCTCCGATCCGCCATTTCAACTCTCTATGTATAAATATAGTTGTATAAGATTGACCCATTAATTTTTGTTTAATTGTAGGGCTTTTTCACCCCCTCTAATTCTCAGTTGGATGAAATGTATAAGATAGATGAGTCATAATTAAAATATAACACTAAAATTACGTAATTATTATAAAAGTGTGCCTTTTTTCAAACAAGAAGGCTTTGTGGAACAGAGGGGAAACTATTTATGGTTTTGAATAGTTTTCATCAATAATATTTATTGATGCAAATATATAGGGAAGAACTTTGATCATATTCAAGCTCCAAGAGAAAGAAAGGAAGGAGAAAGTGAAGAAAGTGGGGAAGGGAGTCATGCTGGTAGAGGAATTAAAAAGGGAGATTATAGTTCAAGAATATATATTCTTTATTGACTGAAAATTAATTAACCGAAAGGGCATACATCTATTTATAAGAAAGAGATAAAAATCCCTACTCCAATAAGATCTGAATTAGTCGCATTACTTCGACAAGTGCTTTGAGGTATAGAATTTAAATAATTAATAAGTAATTAACTAAATATCTTAATCTGCCATCCATAAGAGATACATATGGGTGTGACACTGCACTTTCACTGACATCACATATAGGTATTTTTTTCACTCCTTGTTTCATAGAATCTTTTTTCTATTCTTGAACGGAGTAATTTACATTTTTGTCACATCTTGTTTGTAGAGCTTTTGACATCGTCGTTTTTAAATATAAATGTTTTATTTTTATTTCTATATCAATTTTTAAACAAAATGAATTGAAAAAATCTAAAATTTTACTTCGGTGTGTAAAATATTTTTATGAGAGTACTTTTTATGTATATACCACTTTGAAATTAAAATAATTTTAAAAATAATAAAATTTTGCATGTTGCACGGAAATCCCATTATTATCTGAGAGGAGGGGGTAGGACTCTAATTTATTTTAAATACGGCTCACCTTTCAAACCGTGTAATGATGTTAATAAGTGCAAAAAATGAATGATCATACTAACCCCATCCCTAGCAGCAGGTTATACTCTGTATTTAATTAAGTTTGAAGGGGGCCCTGGTCTCGTGTGTAGTTGGCCTGGTGCCGCCGTGCACTACTACTAGCTTCTAGGATACTTATACTCCCACCTCCTAAATTTATACTACCTCCAATTTTCTTTATTTTTCATGGTATTTAATAATACTTCCGTCTCAGAGTATTTGTCCACTTTCATTTTTACGCACCATCCAATACACTTCTTTAATCTATTTTATCTTGTAATTTGTATATTAAAAAATTATAGAAATTATATATTAATAATCTATATGTTAAGACAAATTAAACAAGATCACACCTGACTATATTTAAGCTTACACATTGAGAGAATTTGATGAGTCAAAGTGCTTAGATGAACAGTTCCAAAAGTCAAAAGTGGACAAA